TAGACAGCATGAGTATGTTTTTTTATAAGTGAAATGGGAAGCAATAGTGTATTTTTTAACTAATAACTTTGTTCCATACTTTGATGTTTTTGTTAGACGAGATTGTGTTAGAGAGGAAAGGAGCAATGTAAGTTTGTTAAAGAGACACTATAGGCACTTGAACCATTTAATCTCATCTGGAATTGGTTTATAGTGCCTGGAGTCCTCTGATGCTCCCCCTCCATTTAGTCTTAAACCATATTTGAGAAGTTTGACACTGACTGATTGTGCCTGGTCATTACTGGAGGTATGGCCAAGGCAAGAATTACCCTCTTCCTTCTAGCCATGCCAAGTCATACTAGCAGTGGCCACTGTGATACTCTCAGCCAATCACAGGTCCTTATTACTACCCAGGCTAATGCTTCATCATTAGCCCAAGCAGTACGGAAGGGATGGGCTGATGGGGACTCTCCTTTATCATTAAAATATAAAAAATGGGTTAGCACTGAATGGAAGGACAGCTAGAAGTTCTGACACTAACTATAACTAGGGATTTATGTTACTTTATCAATTGACAGTAGTTATCATTATTAACAATTCCCTGTGTTTAAGAAGAGAAATTCTGCTCTGCTTAATATGTGTGACAAGCTAGACAGAAACTAAAATAATTAATACTGACTATTCATAACAATTGCCAAAATAGGTTGTTTTTGTGACTGGTTAGATTGGAGGTTGCCTAGTGATATTATAATAGTATAATATGCAGACAGAGTCCTATGTTTATGTAGGGAAACTCTTGCTAAAGTCCCAAAGTAAAAAGTAGTAGATTCTGAGACAGGCATTTATGGTAATCCATAGAGGGTACAAACATTGCAGATTCCATATGGGATGTCTGGATAAACATGCCATACCTTCTTCATCACATACCTTCCTCAGAATCCAATATTTATTTATTATATTACCTCTTTGTTCAGAGTCCATATGATTTTCACTTTCCTATTTTTTTTGTTTTCTTTTATCAGATAGCAAGAATAAGGTCAATTAATCTTGTAAGAGTCTTAAACTATCAATTCTCCAACACCAAATGTATGAATAATTTACAAGTTACATGATGCTTAGATTAAATCATAATGTATGATATTTGTCTGAACATGCTATAAAATTATTTATTTCAGTTTAATTTATAACAAGCCCAATGATGAGATAGAGAAAATGTGTACGCTTGCACTGGTGCAAGTGTCAAATTGCCTTTTCTAAAAACATATGTAAAAAGCTAGATGTAGAAAAAGTAAGAGTCAATTACTATATGTGTTTACACATAAATATATATATATATATGTGTGTGTGTGTGTGTGTGTGTATATATATATGTGTGTGTGTATATATTTATAGATATACAGATATACAATCTTTAATAAACGTCTGTATAGCAGCTGTATAATTTCTACACATTGTAAGGCAAGGCAAAAAATCTATACCCATGAAATATTGTATTTTCCCAACTAATTCAGATTGCAGTGGTAAATATGCAAATTAGCTCAGTGTAACAGTATCTATGAGGACAAACCCAAATATACAAAAAGGGTAGAACTGATGATAAATAAGTGTATTGCCAATCCAACAATCTGGCTGAGTACCATACATCACAGTATCACATGTAAAATGTAGCAAAATACCAATCATAATCAATATACCAGAATTTGGAATAAAAGAGAAATTGGAATAGTCACAATTCACAATCCAAAACAGAGTACTTGTATGGAATGCCCGCACATTCAGGAACCTCACAGGTGTGCCATATAAATAAAGTGGTAAATAGGCAACTACCCAACTGCATCATGGAGTCTTTTATAATTAGCAAGCACAACAGGGAATAGGGTATCATTATAATTCCCTTTTGAGAGAATGCGTTGTCGTTGGTATAAAGCCCACCATGTCATCAGAATGAGCAAATGGCACCATTAAAATAAATGCGAGGTAAGTGGCCAGTATCAGGCACACACAAGAATTGGGCATGTGTACTACCAGCTATGTGGGCCAGGGGTACTATAAAGCAGTCCTGGTGAAATGCACATTGCTTGCAATGTATTAGACAGACAGTGGTCCTGGTTTCCTGGTGTATGGTCTTTAATGTTGCCATTTCGCTATCAAGAAATAAAGGTATTTGATTTGAATTGAATTTTTTTTAAGTTGAAGCTGTTTTTTGGTGTTCCCCAAGCATGGGTCTGGCCTATTTTGGTTTATAGTTATCATTGAGAGGAGGACACTTATGTTGGCAAAACCCCTTTGTTTTTCAACTTTTTTTTGCCTTACAAAGTTTAAAAAAATTAATTATAATATTGTGATCTATAACGAAAGTCACCCATACTCAACATTTTTCCTATTCTAATGAAAATTATGCAGTCTGTGGGGTGTAGACCTAATTGTTCTTCAGGTCCAAATCCATTCACAATGTTTAAGGGTTATTCACTCAAGTGAGAAATCAAAGTGAATTCAAAGTGAATTTCAAATTTAAGACTGGAGTCTCTGGAGCCCAACTGATCTAGATCGAGAGCTACTGCTTTGACAAATCGGTGTGGCTACCAAGATGGAGGTGGAGGTAGAAGCCAGAGACTTAAAAACAATGTCTGTATTGATTACATTATCCAATAATCAATATATTTACTGGATTACAATTGTTAAGACACCCCGGAGACGTAGGAGTGAAACCACCGTTTAGTTGAGCTTTCCCCCTTCACAATCTTGCCATCTCCGTTCGTATAGAATTCAGCGTACGAACCACAACCAGGGGAAAGCGGTAATCTCCCGAACGGGATCCGTAAGAGTGCTCCAAACTCCCGAACAATAATCCACGAATCGTCGTTAACCGCCAAACAAATATATCCTCCAAGCGGCTTACAGTTCCAGTAATCAGTCTCTATCCGTCAGTAATAAATCCCCCCAATAACGAGACCAATCTCCGCATTGAGGGTAAAACAAGAACTGGGTTTACTGTGGGCTACCTGTCCGTATTTATGCAGGTTTCCCACTTGGTGGACACTCCCCTAGGGGACCAAATGGGAGACTGTAATGACAGACCGACATATGGCTATTTCAGACACACAGGCACAAAAGATTCCCACCATGCATCATGGTTTCCTCCCCTCTGCCCTGGAGATAATTGAGAAGTAATTCAATTATCTCCAGGACAAAGACAAATCGCCATTTTAAGTAAAACGCCAGAAACACTTGAAAATAAATAATTGCACAACTACCGAACATATTACATTCGTGCAACGTATCCCCAGATAGCCTGGATCTGAGTGCATATTATTAGCACTCAGATCCCATACACATAGTTCAATTGCCATGGAGTCAAAGTCCTTACAGTCTTTCGGTATGCGATTGACTCCATGGGAAGGCTATCGCGGTTAAGTCTCTTCGTGTAATCCAAAACTCCCGAACGGCCGGTGTTCAGATGCTTTTGTCGACTGAGAAGGGCGGTCTGTAGTTTCAGCGGTGTTCGGCAGAAAAAGTGTCCGTTTTTAGTTCCATAGAATCAATGTCGAACACCGCTGGTCTTTCGCATGGTTTAAAATGGCCGCCGCCTCGTGGTCGACATACGAACGACAACCACCCTGTATTCGGTTATAATTAAGAGGTGTCTGCGGTTAACCACAACATTCTAATTGGGATCAAGAGGTTAACCAGCAGCACACTTCTATTCTGGGTGGCCGTCCATTCGGTAGGTTCATTCGGCAAAAAGTCAAACATACGCATGGGGGTATAGGAACAGGCAATTCCCACGAAAGAAAGGCAAACTAGACGAACTGACAAATAATAGTTATACAGATGGGTCTGTCACAACAATAATCAATACCTTTAATAGATATGATTACGCTATCTTTATAAAGTTCCTGTCTTGCATTCAGCAATGCAGCTGAGAGCACAGCATTACTGTGAGGCAAAGAGGAAACCTACCTCTGCATCTATAAACACCGCTAAAGTGGCAGCTGACACACTCGACTGATCAGCAGGAAACCCTCCCGCGCGTGTAGGTACAGGCAGACTCAGCTTCTCCACTTGTCCCTGCATGTGAAACGCAAGGGACTTAGTCTGTTGGAACTTGGGATTGGGCTATGGCCCAAGGCCCCGGAGATGCTTTAGATACGGCCTTCCACAATAGCAGTTGTTGCATGGGGGTAACCCTGCGGAATCATTATGCAGCACTTAAGCAAGTCTTTCCGAGTAACAGGTCTTCTCTGGCATGGGAATACAGATTGAGAATCAAATAAAGATGTACCCTGAGAGCCGCGGGCAGTGCGGTTCTGTCTGCCATATCTTGCTTACTCGTTACAGGGTGGAAATGTTTTCTATCTGTTCACTTCCCAACATCGCTGCTTAACCCATTTTTATTTTTATTTTTTTTGCTGACACACAGCTAGTGCATAGATTAATGTCTTGTTTTCATTTATTTAGTTTTGTAGGCACTGTGCTACTTCAGTCTTTCTTCATTTAAAATGTGCAAATATATCACTATGTTATATTTGCAATATTTATCATCTCTACTGCTCCTTTGAAATACTGTGCTATACTGTTGCATTGTTATGCCATTGCACACACACAAAAAAAAATTGTTAAAAATAAAAATTAATTAATAAAAAAAAGACCCACTGCATAAAAAATGGGGGCAAAAAAATAATATTGTGACTCATTTCCCACTGTATGCAGTTCCAGCTACAGTGCTCTGATTGGCTCGTAGTATTTTCATTGTGACAATATATCACAGTCCTACAAATTTGGATTGAAACAGAAAGGGATACAGCTAGGGGCTAAAACATAAAAAATAAACAGCACATAGTGATGTACAGTATATGTTAATAACACACAGCGATGTTAGATTGCACTCACAAGATAGAAATCAGGTAAACGCCTTTAAATCCACACAGGGATTACACTGGTCCGCACTCCAACATAGGGAATAGTAAATAGTCAGCAGGCACAGGTACTTCAGGATACAAAGTCAGGATTCACATGCAAAATATATATTTATTTAGGCACAAACTGCCTGATAAAAAAAATTGTATTAAAAAAGTATTAATACTTTTTTCATACAAGTTTTTATCAGGCAGTTTGTGCCTAAATAAATATGTATTTTGCATACAGCACCTAGCTGTATCCCTATTTCTGTTTTTAGCCATCTGATACTACAGAGGCGCAAGTGGGAAAGGCCTCTAGGAAAGCTATCTACATTGTACTAAGTTAGGTACATTATATCTATTTATCTGTCATTTTGTTGATAAGTAGAATTTTTGTCAGTCCTGCAAATTTGCACATAGCTAAAAAACAAAAACAGGGACGGAGACAACAGTAGTGATCTACCCAAAACATACATACAGATTGATTATATGTGGTGCAAGCCATTTATGAATTCATAAATGAAAAATAGTTATGTGTGGTACTTAAGCCATTACAAACCAGTATAAAAAAATGAAGTAAATGCATATTTAAACTGTCCACGCTCCATGTCCCTTCCCAGTCCATTGTACTGATGGCCATAATTCCAGTGACATTTTTAATGCTGAATGAATAACCTTTCATATGCTTTTATGAACCTTGGGCTGTGTGAATGACTCATTTGTGTGACAATACTTTCTAGTTTATTCTGTCATTTTGGCATTACCATTACTCTTTCAGCCAATCGGCTTTTATTTCTACGTCATTGACCTTCCATAATTATTCCTAGACACTGCTCATTTTCACCTACTCTTTGCCTGTTTGCAGAAGTGCCACGACTCTTTATATGCTCCATGTTAAGCATGCCTGGGATAGGCATAAGGCTATCCTAACTATAAGATAAGGCCAGGGACTAATGAAAGTATTTAGAAAATTGGGCAGACTAGATGGGCCGAATGGTTCTTATCTGCCGTCACATTCTATGTTTCTTTGTTTCTGTTAATGCTTGTATATACACTGTACATTTGGGTCACCTCTCAATACTAAATATACACTGGGCCGTAGCTTGTATAACCCTAGCTATCCTAGGTGGGTTATTCACACTTAACTCTTTTTTTATTATTATTATTTTTTGCGTGATTGTCTTGTCAAAGGCATAACATACAGTATATTTCACACATGGTGTACATTCCATAAGAGTCAGCATCGTCCAAAGTACATTTCCATATCTCCATATCCCAATTTGGCTGGACGGATGCACATTACAACAAGACATTTCAATTTTAAGGTTATATTACTTAAGCATAAATCCAACGATATTTAACAGAAAAACCTTCTGAAGTAAGTGGCTTAAGATGTCTTACGTTGCTAGTTCTAACGGGGTGGGAATTGTCCCTTGTTGTATGGCCCTGTTTGCGGATATGAAAGGTATGTTACCCAAGTTCCTTCTTGGCGATATAGGAAAGAGAGAGCATAAGTATAGAGAAGAAAGAAGGGGGGGGGGAGGAGGAGAGATTGTGAGTGTAGGTGGCGGGGGAATAGTATAATGTTAGTAGGGCACGGTTGGACCCGGGTACTGCTGGTTGGACCCAGCCCCGTTGGGACCCCACAGTTAAATCTTTATGAGGTTATGTATGTAAGAATCCCATTGCAGATTAAGGTGTTATGTAGCAAATAGATCAAAGTTTAAAGGAGTAAAAAGGAGAATATTAAAGCTAGTGCAGTAAGAAACGCAGTTAATTTCAATGTGCATCACTAGTTTAGGAGACGTTAAAATGTGGGTCGGAACTAGTAAAATGGCAGCAGAGTTAAAAATGAAAACCGTGCATGGGTTAGCAGATCATAATACAGGAGCAAGCAGAGCAGTTCTAAATGAAAATATGGTATTCTAGTGTTGTCAGACATAATTTACAGTGTTTATCTTGGCCTTACACTTTAGGTTCTGCTCATAAATCTGCTACTTAAAGTGAACCTGTCTTTTTTTTTTTTTTTTTGGTTTTCTTTCTTAATGATTATACTTGCCTGTATTTATTATCTTTTCTTACTTGTCAATACCTGGGTGCAGCCACTTTGTTCTCCTCTGTTTCCCTTCTGTGGGATTGATTTTACTGATTTTACTTAGCTTTAAGCTCTGCCCATTGTCATGTTTTGTCAACTTGACTAATATACGTGACGAAAAGTAGTTGCTGCTTTTGTTTGCCTATGTAATGCAATCTAGATCAGTCAGGAAACAAATAAAAAGTGGTTTAAACAGAGCAAGCTGTATAGAAACAAATTAGATAAAGTTTATTTTTGGTGACAACACCACTTTAACAATGAATTATTTTTATGTCCCAAATCTCTTTTTACTTAGGAAAGAGATACTAAGGGAATGAGTGATGATGCTTTTTTCTATCAGGTATATTTTTGACTTTCTATTTTAACTGAAAGTGAGTGATGTTAGGAGGCATGGAGTATAGATGAAAGCCATAACTCTGATTCAGATCATTGAGCCTAATAAAACTTGCTATCCTTGACTTCAACAGAAATATAAAACATAAAAACCCCACTAGTCCTATAATAAGTACTACAAATCAATTCCATGTACCCAGAGTACGTTGCAGTAGATATTATAGAAAAATGTGAGTTTACTGGGATGTTTAAATAAAGGGGATGTGGATGTGCCAAAGAGCTTCTTGCTTATGGTGCCATGGCCTGCAAAAAATATTTTATGGAGATAAATCTTTTAAAAGTTAAATATTAGTTTATTTGGCATTTTGATTTCTATAGTAAATACAGATTATCATTTTTTTGGTGCATGTTTAACATGAATAGCTCTATAAAGGTGTTCAGTATTAAAATTACATTATATACCATACCATATACCAATCTATTAATATTTGTGGTTTTTTTTTTAAATGCCATTCTGATATTTGATTTTACTGGCCAGTAATGTCTGCTTCCTCTTTGTTTCACACTATATGTTACATTTATTTATTTATTTATTTATTTATTTATTTTTAAAGAATCCCAGTTTTATTTTATTAACCCACATATGTCACTGTTTGCCCTACGGAAAAGCATTTAGACAGCTGCTACAATTTTGTTAAATATTTGGACACAGCTGTCAAAGTTCTGCATGATCTGTGTCCTTTCTTTACACTACTAAATAACTAAGGGTCCTTTGCAAAATTCAGAATTCAGGATGACTGCCTCCCTTGGTAAATACATCAGCTCCTTCGGCTTCCGTTATCATTTCTATGCGGATGACACGCAAATCTATCTGTCCTCTCCTGATCTCTCTCCGCCCATCTTGGCTTGTGTCTCTGACTGCCTCTCTGCTATTTCTAACTAGATTGCTCCTCACTTCCTTAAACTTAACCTGTCCAAAACATAACTGTTCTTTCCTCCCTCAAGTGTTGCTACTCCCATGCCCTCTCCCTCCAAGTCAATGGTGCTACCATCAGCTCTACGTCAGGCTCACAGCAGAGTTCTCTTTGAATCCGACCTCTCCTTTTATCCTCATGTCCAGTCGATCGCCAAATCCTGCTGCTTCCATCTCAAAAACATAATGCGTATCTGCCCCTATTTAACGCCGGATGCTTGTCCATACCTCTGTTCTCTCTCACCTTGACTAGTGCAATCCGTTTCCCAGTGGTCTTACATGTTACCAATTTGCCTAGTTACAGTCTATAATGAATGCGGCTTCATGTCTGCCCGCACCTCCTATGCCTCCACCTTCTGTCAGTCCAGCTTCACATTATGGCTCAACTTAAAATGTTGGTACTTGTTTACAAATCTCTACACAATGCTGCTCCAACCTAATTGTCCTCCCTAATACACAAATATGTCCCGTCTAGGCCCCAACGCTCTGTCAAAGACCTATCAACTTCTATTGTCTATTGTATTCTCTAGGGCTGCACCGTTCCTGTGGAACTCCCTTCCCTTATCCGTTAGACTTTCACCCACTCTCCAGTCCTTCAAAAAATCATTGAAAACTCACTTCTTCAGGAAATCATATCAATTAAACTGTTAACAGTTTTGCCTCCCCGCACACTGATTCCTCTCCTGCAACTGTTTGTCCATCTTGCCTGGTTTCAAAGATGTTTCTGCTAGACCACCCATTGTACAGCACTGCAGAATCTGTCGGTGCCTTATAAATAATAACAATAATAGTTTTAGAATTTCGGTTTGTTTAAAATAAGGAAATTATCCATTTGAAATAAAACGATATTCATTAAAAAAATTTGGAACTGAAACTAAATTTTGATGCCATTATTCCAGTAGATACCAAATAAGGTTGTTTTTTTAGCAGATAGCTTCCTAAATTGGCATCCTTGAAAATAGTAATCTCAAATAAGTGTACCAAATTTGGGAGCTGTGTAGCAGACATCTCCCTACACTAATTTGGTGTCCTTATGTGGGATTTGCCATATTTAAGGGTACCAAATTAAGGAGCCGTTTAGTAAAGAGCTCACTAATTTGGTATCCTTAAAAATGGTAATCCCACAAATTTGGGAGATATGTACTGAACGGTTGAAAGACCAAATTTAAGAAAAACCCTTTTTAGTTTTGCTGTTTCAGTTGCTTAGAAGATAAGTCCCTTATTTGTTACTATTGTTTATGGAAATCCCACATAAGTAAACTAAATCTGGGTGCTATCCATTAAACAGTAAAATTAAGCAAAATTAATTTTATTTCTTAATTTTCTTAATTTTGCTGTTTCTGTTGTGTCACGAACTGTGAGAATAATTACATACCAGCATTGCAGGAGTGTTAACCTTGGTCTATGTCTCTGGCAGGAAAAGAAACAAAGACCCACAAAGACTTTTACTTGCATAGATAATATTGTGCTAAATTGTGTTTGTGGATTTAATCTTCCAATGCTTTCTATTTTATAAATTGCTTTGGTGGTAGCATCTTTTTGATATCAGAGCTATGTGTGTGTGCGGCATTAAGCAATAGTTTCTTTCTTTATTTCCTGTCTACTGCAGACAAACAGTGTCTTTTAACCAATTCACCCCCAAAACCGAGTCATGAGCACACTTGGAGTAGTGTGTCTCGGTGACCAGTTGCTTAGGATAGGTTTCTAATTTGCTATCCTTATTTATAGCAATCCTATGTAAGGATACAAAATTACAGAGCCTGGCCTCTCATTTAGATTTCATATAGTATATTTCAATTAAAACATTAAACTAATGCACAGTTCAGAAAAAAAC